CTATTGTGCCACATGGTGACAATAGTTAATAACAATGTACTGGTTGGGGTGCGGTGGCTCATGCCTGTGATCCCAGCACTTTGGGACGCTGAGGCAGGCAGATCACTTGAGGTCAGGAGTTCTAGACCAGCTTGGCCAACATAGTGAAATCCCGTCTCTAGTAAAACTACAAAATTAGCCGGGCGTGGTGGTGCATGCCTGTAATCCCAGCTACTTGGGAGGCTGAGGCAGGAGAATCACTTGAACCCGGGAGGCAGAGGTTGCAGTGAGTCGAGACTGCGCCATTGCACTCCAGCCTGGGTGACACAGCAAGACTCTGTCTCAAAAAAAATAAATAAATAAATAAAATACATATATATATACTGTATACTTGAAAATTGCTCGCAGAGATTTTAAATGTTCTCAGCATTACAAAATGGTAAGTATGTGAGATAGTGCATATGTTAATTAGCCTGATTTAGTGATTCCACAATGTATACATATAACAAAACATCATGTTGTACACCATAAATGTATACTATTTTTATTTGCCAATTAAATAATTTTTTTTTTTTAAAGTTGTAGTCTGCAGGTTTAGCTTTTCGGGACTGAAGCCTCATAGCCCCTCCACTTCAACACACTCATCAGCATTGTAATTACTTTGTAATTAATGCCTGTGTTCCTCACTAAATTGTAAGCTCCACATGAGCTCTGCCTCCAAGTGCTTGCAAAAAAACCAAAAGGGGGTGGGGGTAGATGCTCCAAACCTGTTTATTAAATCATATTGAAACACTTGAAACAGATTTCGTTCCTGCTTATTTTCTAACAGTGGTTAAAACTTGGTAACTTCAAGTTGACGTGGATTTCCAAATTCAATGTAATGTCAATAATATTATAATAGAACACACTTAGGGTTGCCAACATTTATTTTGTTAAGCAAGGCTATTTTAAAAACAACTATCAATAATTATCGCTATCTACTTATTTTAAAAAGTACGTTTTGACCTTATCTATACACATGTTTGGAATAAAAACAGTCCTTCCTGAGAAGGGAGAGTTGGCAGACCTACAACAATAAAATAAATATATTCAAATGTTTTGGGTATGGGAGCATTACAAGGGAAACATTTTCAAGTATTACTTCGTATGTAGTTGTTTCTTATTTCTCAGTTTGGGGATCTGTATTCAACAGGGACATGGAATGGGGAGCCTGAGATGGTATTTTTCTGTTTCATGTTGATAAATAGAGACCACTCAGCAATTTTGCTCTATTAGGAAACTTTGAGGCAAACGGAGAGAAGCCAAGGAACAATAGCAGTCATGCCTCCAACTGCTTCTTTCCTTCTCCAACCAAGCCAGAAAGAATGTAGGCCAAGTGTTGGGGCTAAAAGCCAGTCGTGGAGCCGTCCAGGATTTATCTAGGAAGGGTGACATCTGCCACTGCTCCAGCAGAGCGGGGGCATGGCATGCTTCTGTGGGCACACAGTTCAACACGTGAGGCACACTGCAGCACACAGGACCAAGGTGTCATGCTGCCAGACAGGCGCTGGCATTTGCCATTTTGTCAAGGCAGGGCTGCAGATTGTGGCTTGATCAGGACAGAAGGATGATGGGCTCTTAAGTGATAGCAGGAGGAAAGCATGAGGTAGAGGGGCAGGTCCTTACTGTCCATCCCCTGCCTGAGATCCAGGATGCCTCATTCAGAGCCTAGCTCTGGTCCTCCATTTACCACATGTTTATTGAGCACTTATAGGTGAGTCACCACCCTAGGTTCTGGGGAAACGGTGAACAAAAGGCCAGAAGTCTTGCTTCCTGGAGCTGACGTTCACTCCATAATGCTGGACAAGACATCCTGAGCCCATTTCTTTGTAAAAAGGAGTGAGAACGTGGGTCATGAAATGACCTGCTATATGAACGTAGTGTTATAATGTTGCTTTGTCTCAAAGGTTGGTTTGCTGAGCCAGGGAGTGTCTTAGGGGCCAGGGATACAGAGATAACTGAAACAAAGCTCCTGCCCTCAACACCCGCTCAGTCTAGTGGGGGAAGCGGAAAACTCACCAACAGGAACAAAAGGAGGCACTAGATGCAAAGCTATCATCCTGAGTTTCCCAGGAGTCTGATATGAAGGTCACCCTACAAAGACAGGCTATGCTTTCAGGAGTTTCAACAGGGCTTGGCAGAGCAGCCATCCCTGGTGCACTCTAGACCTTGAGGGTGATAAGCCCAAAGAGGGTTGGATTGAGGGAGGGAGCTGCATGGGGACCTGGCGATTACAGCAGCAGAGCACTGACTGGCTCTGAAGGGGAACCCTTGCCAGGCTTCTAGCAGAGGCTTGTCTTTCCATGTACAAGAAAAGTTAAGTGGAGGCCTGGAGAGGGGCCCCCTTCCGTACCGTGGTGAAAATGAACGAGGCTGGGAGAGGAGTCAGGGGATGCTATCCCAGAGAGGCCCCTCCCCACAGAGTGGGCAGAAGGAAGACAGAACTGGCCAGGCCCTTGGGGGAGTGGAGAAGCCTTCCAGCGTGTGGGTCCCTGTCTCCATGCCCTGCCTCTCCAGACCCGAGTGCCTGGCGTCTGCTGTGACTCCCAGCCTTGTCTGTCCCGTTGGGTGAACTCTGTCCCATCTCTCTTGCCCCTCAAACCTTTATTCATCCAGTGTCAAATTCCTATCCACCTTCCTCCAGGGGCCAGGCGCTACAACAGGAGGGGAAGGAACGGCAAGGTCAGCAGGAGGCCACCGAGCCAGACCCTCCAGCGGCACCATTGGGGGCTGGGCAGGAGGGCATGGGCTCAGGCCGCAGGGAAGGGCTGCTCCACTGGGAGGCCTCCCTCTGCTCCGTGGCGGTGCTGGAGAGGGAGCCCGTGTTTGCTTGTCGGGACCACATCTGCTTTCAGAGGGGGAGCAGGTCACTTCTTTCCCCTGGACCTGGAATGGGCACAACTGAGACCTAGGGAGCATTCCTGCAAGCGGGACACTGCTCTGGGAGAAGACCTCCATCCAGCTTCCTGCCCCCAAGACCCCAGCAGCTGCTAGTGTCACTGCCCACAGAAGTATTTGCTTAGCCCAAGAGTCAGTCAGATGTGTGGTGGCCATGAAATGGATCCTGCTGGTTCTGCCAGACCTCCCTGCATCGGTCACCACCTCAAAGTTCCTTGGCTGCAACTCCATGTTGCCTGAATCTAGGGACTGTTGAAGTACTACAGGGGGCTGGGCACCGTGACTCATGCCTGGAATCCCAGCACTTTGGGAGGCCAAGACAGGTGGATCACCTGAGTCCAGGATTTGGAGACCAGCCTGGCCAACATGGTGAAACCCCATCTCTACTAAAAATACAAAAATTAGCTGGGTGTGGTGGTGCACCCCTGTAGTCCCAGCTACTTGGGAGGCTGAGGCAGGAGAATCACTTGAACCTGGGAGGCGGAGGTTGCAGTGAGCCTAGATGCGCCACTGCACTCCAGCCTAGGTGACAAAGCGAGATTGTCTCAAAAAAACAAAACAAAACAAAAACAGCTGCAGGGAAGAATGGCTGAGTAGAGGCCAGTGGCTTCGTTGTGCCTCATCCGAACTCCCTGAAGGCTGAAGCAGGTCCCTGAGGCTTTCTGACCACACCCTCCAGTTCCCGGCTGTTTCTTTTTTATTTATTTATTTATTTATTTATTTATTTTGAGACGGAGTCTTGCTCTGTCACCCAGGCTGAAGTGCAGTGGCTCACTGCAACCTCCACCTCTCAGGTTCAAGTGATTCTCCTGCTTCAGCCTCCCAAGTAGCTGGGATTACAGAAGCCCACCACCACACCTGGCCAATTTTTCTATTTTTAGTAGAGATGGGGTTTCACCATGTTGGTGATTCTGCTGTTTCTAAGGAGTCTCTCCCAGGGCCACAGGGATCCAGAGCAGACCCTGAGACGCTGAAGCAGGTTGGCTGCACCTGCGCTACCACCTGCACGTGCAGAGGCTAGTCTCTGAATGAGGCTGCCTGGTACTCAGGCAGGGGATGGAGAGTAAGGACCACCCACTGTGCCTCAAGCCTCCCCCGTGCTGTCACTTAAGAGCCTACCATCCTGCCATCCCTGAGAGCTTCCCAAGCAAGGCACAAAATCCACAGCCCTACTCTGACAAAGTGGCAAATGCCAGCCCCTCTGGCAGCATGATGCCTTGGTCCTATGTGCTGGAGAGAAAGCCTTGTGTGTTTACTTGTGTGACCGCCCATACAAGCCATGTCCCTGCTCTGCTTGAGCAGTGGCAGGTGTCACCCTTCCCAGGTAAGTCCTGATGGCTCCCTAACTGATCTTCAGCCTCTGATGCTTTGAGGTCCCTTCCTGGTCTCAAGATCCTCTGAACGTCTGCCTCTGATAGGCCTTGAACCCGAGCCGCCTCCGGGCTTTTGTATTCAACTGCAACCATATCATTTGCCCTTTGCTGATTCACTGTTTGGCACTTGATCTTCTGGCTGCTTCATGTGAGTCTGTTTTGTCTTTCTGCCGAGATAAAAACTCAAGGCCGGGGACTCACTGACCAAATAACAAAGCAAAGCGGCTTTTCAGGCTTGCATAATCTGATTCATATTAAAACCCGCCCATTTCCAGGCACCAGGCCCCTATCCTCGTCAACAAGAAGTTTATCAACAGGGTTGACTGACTCACAGGGAGGTGTGACCTCACTGCTGGAAGGAGGAAGTGCCATCAGAAACCTCTATAGATAATTTCCTGAAAGGTTCCAAGTTTGGTTTTTTGGGGAACTCCTCAAAGGAGAGGTGGATGGCAGAGGAAGGAGGAGGGGAGAGAGGAGGAGCAGAATAAGGAGTGCAAACAGGAGAGGCACAGAGTGGGGACAAGGAAGCCACCATGGATGGTGAGCCCTGGGGCTTGGAGAAGGCCTTTGGCACCCTTCCAGGGCAGTTCCCACCCGTCAGTTGAAACCACCACCTGGAGACTTTCCACCATTCTCAAGGCCTTCCCTACAGGTTCTACCCACCCACTCTCCCCCACCATCTGTCTGCCTCCCAGGCCACACTGTCCACACTGAGTGAGCCCGCTAGTTTATTCACTACTAGGAATAAGCCGGTACAAAATACATTTTTAGAAAATTCACTTGGAGATAAAAAATCTTGTCCCCACTCCTCCCCCAATCCCACACATCTGTGCTCTTCTGCCTGAGTTAATTCAGCTTTGCTGAGCCTCCTGCAAGAGCTTGAGCCAGGGGGTCGTCGGCCCTGAGGGCGAAGGTGAGCGTGCGCTGCTGGTAGTGCCTGGGGTCACACTCCAGGTTCTCGATCACCTCAGCCAGCAGGTGGGCCCGCTCCACGCCTGAGCCGGGGGCCTCGAAGCCCAGGGCGGTGAAGTGCACGTGCAGGTGGTAGTAGGAGGGCAGGTAGTGCAGGTATACTCGCAGACGGTCTCCCTTCATCTGGTAGCGCTGCAGGATGGCCTCCTGATGAGACAGGGGCAGGCAGGCCAGGAGTCACCGTGCTGTCTGAGGCCCGGCGCCATGTCCCCACCGAGACCCTCCTCCCGTCTGAATCCCGGGTTGGCCTGGGACAGCTCATAAAAACCCTCCGAACAGCTCTCTGCCTGCTGTCCGCTTCAGCTTCCTCTGTCTTCTAGTCTAGGAAATCCACAAGTGCAGGTGACAGCAGCAAAGCTGAGACTCTTTCTCCCAAAAGAAGGGGGGAGCGGCCTCAATCAGCATTCCCCACCCAACGTGGATAAAACACCGGCTTCCTCAAACAGCTGCTGCCGGGAATCTTGGAAGGTCCAGTGTCTACAGACAGGCCCCAGACTCCCAAGACTATGGGGACTTTCATGATTTAGGAGCCTTTAATCAGTCATGAAGTGGATGGGAGGAAGCCTCATTCTCTCTTTTAGCATAGGACAGGGTGGAGCTTGGAAACAATGAAGATGGGGATGGGGCTATGCTGAGAATTTGGTGAAAGAGCAAGGACTGTGGAAGGGGTGTGGGAGGGGCTGCTCCCGCACAGACCCGGGGAAGTCTCGGTGGGCTCCTTGCAGAAGAGGAAAGCGTTGACTGTGGCCCTGGCTCCCTCTGCCCACCTCCACCTTGCTCAGGGGTGGGTATTTTTCTACCAACCTCCACCTTCAGGAGCCTGCAAGGCATAGAATTAAGCGGAGACTCTTATCTCCACTGTGGGCAAATCGCTGAGGTGGTCAGAGGTGAAGAGAAAAATACTAGGGCCTCAGTGGGCTCAGTATACACCCCAGAACCGTGTTCTGCATTTGGAGCTCACCCCAGGAATGTCTGCAGCAGGGTGGGACCAGGGCCAAGGCACCCAAGGGGCATCCTGGAGTAAGTGAGGTCTGCCTGCCAGGGCGGAGCTGTCAGAGCTCCTTGGGCAGATCAAAGTGTTGACCTGGCATCTCCCCAAGAGAAAGACACCATTCTCTGCCATTTGTAATATCCAGGAACTGCTTCAGGATCTGAACAAGTCACCCCACAAAGGTAAAGGCAGCCGAGGGGTGGTGCCATGGGTGGGCAGGAGGGAAGATAGATTGGGGCCCAGCGGCACGGGGAAGCTGGGTGTGGGCAGAGCCTTTCCTCCAGGTCTGCATTAACACCTCGAAGCAGCACTGGTCAAAAAGGGGCCAACCTCTCTCCTGGCTGGGCATCGTTGTGACTGCTAGCTCTGGCGTGTTAGGCAGATCATCACATTTCAGAGTAGAAAAAAGACTGAGACCCAGCCCCTAGGATGGTGGATTTAGAAGGGATCCATCTAGATAATGTGGTTTAGGGAGGTGAAGTGACCCACCCCAGGCCACTCAGCTGGTTAGGGTCCAAATGTCAGGCCAGGACCACACCCAAGATTCTAGACACTCTTCCCCTATCCCCCGCTGCTCCTGGGCTCTGTTTAGAGCCCCGATAATTTCATTCAATTCAACAAATATCCCAGACAGAAAGTATCCCAGAACACCAGGTGCTACAGAATTCAGCCTGTTTTCAATCTAGACAAGGAGACACGTGTACACACATATCGAAGTCACGTGCCCATACTCCCAAGAAACTCTGGCATGATGTGGTTGTCATGGTTGTCATGAGAGAGACAGGTGATCCTGGAGTAGGAGGGGCCAGGACTTAAGGACCAGAGTCTATGGGGTGAGGGGTGGAAGTGCATCCCGGATGCAGAAAGCCTGAGGAAGGCGTGTGAGGGTGAGGAAAGGTGGCTGAAAGCAGAGCTGGGCGCCAGGCAGGACCAGGGACAAAGAGCCCTGCTCTTCAACCTGAAGAGCCTAATGGGGTCCCCGAGACTGGCATCCAGAGAGAAGTCTCTCCAAGATGGACTCTGGGAAGGGTGAGGAAAGGGGCCCGGGAACACACTGGAATCTGAGTCTAATTTCCCTGGGCTTCCACGTGGTTTGGTGAAGCCGCTCACCTGCCCCTGGTGGAGGATGTTCCTGAGCAGCGGCAGGTGCTCCGGAGTAAGGTCGCGTAGGGATCTGATGCCCCGGCGATGGCAGATGGCGATCAAGTACAGGTCATCGAGCTGCGTAGAGAGCAAGGGGAGACCAGGCTCAGCAGGGAACAGACCTGGGGAGGCTGCCAACCCCGGAGTTCTCATGTAAGCCAGGAAGCACCCACCCCTGAGGCCTACAGCGCCAGGAGAAACCCCGCAGCAGGACTGACGCGCCGGCAATGCGCGCATCCGCATACCCCGGGCGTGTGGGATGGTCTGAGAAGCAGGCCTTCTGTGTATGCTTCTTGCTAGAGAATACCATGAGAGAGTTCTTTTTTTTTTTTTTTTTTTTTGACAGAGTCTCGCTCTGTCACCCAGACTGGAGTGCAGTGGCGCAGTCTTGGCTCACTGCAACCTCCACCTCCCGGGTTCAAGCGATTCTTCTGCCTCAGCCTCCCAAGTAGCTGGGACTACAGGTGCGTGCCACCATGCTCGGCTCTTTTTTTTTTTTTTTTGTATTTTTAGTAGAGACGGGGTTTCACCATATTGGCCAGGCTGGTCTCAAACTCCTGACCTCATGATCCGCCTGCCTCGGCCTCCCAAAGTGCTGGGATTACAGGTGTGAGCCACCACGTCCGGCAGACAGTTCTATATACTCACTCCCCAGAGCTGTCAGGGGCAGGGAGCCAGGAGGTTCAAGAAAGAGCAAGGGCAACTCTCTCCCTCCAAGAGTTTATAGTCTCATCGCATGTATGCAGGTAGCTCTGCTGTAAGACACAACATAATCCCAGCACAGGAGGAAGGAAAGACTCTAGCTACCTGGAGGAACCCAGGAAGGCCTCCTGGAAGAGAAGGCAGAGGATCAGGTCTAGAAAAAGAGGTAGAATTTGGAGAAAGGATATTCAGGTAGAGGAAACAGAGCAAAGGCTTGAAGGCAAGACTGTATAGGGTACAAATGTATAGGGCATAGAATGTATACGTAAGGGGAGAGGAAGCAACTTGATTTATCTGGAGTCAAGGCTCATGAAGGGGTGGAGTGGGGTTTGAAGGCCAAGAAGGGAGCCAAGGGCCAGCTCAGCAGCACACACACACCAGGGCAGCAAGTCTGTTGCTCTCTTCCCCTATCTCACAGGACACCTTCCGGCCGTCCTTCCTGAGCACAGCCTGGCTAAAAACCTGGAGGTCACAACAGTACAAAGAATTAAAGTCAAGATCTTGTGCCGGAGAGCAAATGAACTCTTCCTCTTGCCCAGAAAACCCACCCTGCTCACCTAAACCCTGGCCTTGCCTGGTAATTACATCCATGCGCCTGGCAGGCCCCAGACATCACGGCTCTGAGGGGCCAGGCACAGGGAGAACCCAGCAGTGTCCTGCCCTTCTGTCTGAGCTACCAGATTCCTTGTGGAGATAATTTGAGGACCATGACTCACCCAACCAAATTTCCTGGGGCCTCAAATTGAAAATTCAGGATGGGCTTTTCTACATGACTGCCTGATATCCAACTATGCCATGGTCTTTACAGGCCATGAACATTCTTTCCTGCCAGAGTTCTAAGAATCTGTGTTCTCTGCCTCAGACCTTCTGCAGATGAGCCCACAGGAAGCTCCCACGTGTAGCTGAGCTGCATGCACCAGGCCTCAATTTGCCCCAAGTCCCCTGTGTACTCTCTCATGGCCTGTGGCCAAGAAATGTACTCTCTCACTTTGGACTTAGGAGTGCAAAGAGAAGCCCAGAAACAAAATTGAACTTGAATTTTGTGTGTGCGCATGCACGCATGTGCACCTGGTGGTAGATGTGTATGTTTTCAGCTGTTCTATGTGTTACTGTAACGGAACTCCCACATAATGGTAACATTTGTTTCAGATGATGTCTGCTGACAAGTCACAAACATGACTCTAACTCGCAACTCTCTGCTCCACTGGCACAGAATAGGGCATGGAGCCTGGTGCTGGGTGTCAGCCCGTGGTGTTGGGTGTCAGTTAACAGGCTGGGTAAGGCAGGGAAAATAATCCATTCTTTGATATTAGACATGACCCAAAATTTCCTGCTGGCAGCCAAAGGGCCTGCTCGCTCAGAGAAGTGATCTGAAGAAAGCTAGGCCAGGGCAGGAGAGGGCCTCAGGCTGGCGCCCCAGAAGGTGGCCCATCAGTCACTCTGCGAAGACAGATAGACATCGTCAGTCTCTTTTTACAAGTCAAGACAGTAAAATCAAAGTAATAGTTTCCTGGCAGGAAGAAAGAGAATTGCTGGAGCATTGGAGACTCAGCTCTTAACCTCTGGGGTGACTCAAAAGAAGAGTTGCCTGATCTGAGAACTTTAGACCAAAGAACTTAAATCATATGAACTGAACATGCGTGTGTATCCATATGCACATGTACATATATGTTTATATACCCAATACAGAAAGGTCACCAAAGCCATAGAAATAGCAACAATAGTTGTTTTGGGGAAGGGAAAAGAAGGGCTGTGAGGTGAGGGAGCATACTTTCACTGAATATCCTCTGTACTGTGTGCATTTTTGCCACATGCATAAACTAAACCTACAAGAAAATAAACAAATAAAAAAAAAGAATACATAGGTGATCCTTTAAGAGAACAGAAGAAGGGATGTTATAACCTCTAAGGAGGCACAGTCTCTAGCAAACAGGCACCTGATAAATATATGTTGAATGGATGAAAAAATGGATTATCTCTTTAATTCAGGGCCATCAGTTTGGAGACAGTAACTTTCAAGACGAGTGGCAGGAGATTCAAGGTGGCTAGGAAAGCTCCTCAAAGCAAACACCAGGGTGCCTCCCTATCCCCAGCCCTTCCCTGTCCCAAAGACAAAGAATAGAAGCCCAGGCATGGCCTGTCTTCCTGCTGGATACATTGCCTAATTCAAAGAGAATTATCAAATTCAGTGCTGTCACAAGTCAAATATTTGAGACACTAAAATAGGGCATCATCAAAAGTCAAGTAAGAATTAAGGTTGGGCACAGTGGCTCACGCCTGTAGTCCCAGCTACTTGGGTTGCTGAGGCACGAGAATTGCTTGAACCCAGGAGGTGGAGGTTGCAGTGAGTTGAGATCATGCCACTGCACTCAAGCCTGGGCAACAGAGTGAGACTCTGTCTCAAAAAAAAAAAAAAAAGAATTAAGCAAAGGTTAAGAAGGACCACACCTGCCATCGCTATGAAGCAAAGTGTGACATTTAAGCTGGCCCTTTCATGACCCTTGAGGACAAGTAATTCCAGCCCTGTGGCTGGCAGCCACAGTGCAGCTCCTAAAGCCTTTCCTGTCTTAAAGGGGACAGAGAAAGGGAGGGTCCACTGGCAGGTGAAGCAGAGCCTGCCGGCACTGGGGTCAGAAGAACGGCAGATTTCTCTTCTCTGCCATGGGCTCAAATGCATTCAGGGTTCCTGGAATAGAGACGGATAAGTCTATCTCTTGTTGTCCCTCTTTGGCCTTAAGACTGCAATCCCCTGGCAAGCTCCTCAGTCTTCAAGAGTCTCGTGCGGCAGAAGGTCCTCCTACCCCACACCTCCATGGCCCTGCTGGGATTCTCATTAATGGTGGGCCCCACCTCCTGTGACCCAGGCTCTGACCCTGGATCTCTAGGTGCAGGGCAGCCCCAGGGGACAGATGGGGGTTTGCAGAGCCACCGCTCAGTTTGAGACAAGGGGCCTTGAGGTCCTACCTCTTCAAATGCCTACAGAGCCAGTCCTGGCTCCCTCCTTCAAGGCCTGAAGGTGGCACAGGCAGAGAGAAGCTGCAGGGAAGGGCAGAGTGGATGCAGGCATCCCCTTAGCCTCTCGCTGCAGCGCCCCACACAAGGAGAGCCCTCTTCTTTGAACTTACTTGTTCTAGGAAATCATCAATCAATGCTGCAAGTTCGGAAAATCCCTTCAAATTCTTTCCCACCCCTTGGGCCACATTTGGGAATTCCCACAAGCCACTTGTCAAGAGACGAATTATGCTCACTTGCCTGTGTAACTCTGAGCCAAAATCCCACCCCTTTAAACCCCAAGTCAAAACTGAAGGCCTCATGGGCAGCCACAACTGAGAAAGCAGAGGGAATGAGCCCATGGAGGGGCAGACCTTCTCTGCGAGTCTCTCCAGCCTGTGAGGGGTGCAAAAACTAGATGGGCCCACCAAGAGCAGAACAGCACATCTGAGCCTGGATTACTCCACAGGTGAAAGTGGAGGAGGGATGTCCGTCCGCTCCCAGTGCCCAGCCTGCCTGCCTACCTCGGCCTTATCCAGGCCCCTCTTCTGTTGCAGGCTGAGCACAGCCAGGTTCCAGTCTGTGGTAAGAACAGCACTCTCTGCAACACAGTGGCTCTGCCAGTTTCTGACCCCGTCAGGGTATAAGGGGTAAAAGAGGTGGTGGTAAGTGATAACTCTGGTGGTGGGCTGGTCTGAGAGACACAGAAGCCCACAGGGAACTGGAAGGGATACCTGTGAGGGAGGACGGCTCCTCCCAAACCTGCTCCTTAGGAAAGCAGGAGAAGCAGAGGTGCTTGGAGGCCAGGGCAAGGGGCCGAGTGGCCCGAGTGGAAGTCTGGACTAAGCTACTCCACAGCTCGGGCTGAGGAGGCGATGCCTTGGGTTGGTCACCATGGTTCCTGCCTGCCAGTGCTTCAGAACACAGGCCTGCCTGGATCTGCTGGTGTCACGGGGAACGGACAAAATGGAAACACCCCACTGAGGGCTCCAGGTGCAGCTGGAAGCACAGGCGGCTGCCCAGACCACTTGGCTGGTAAGGAATGGCCTATGTAGTCACGGGCGCAAACATCACCCCATTTTACCTCTTGGGTGGGAGGACAGCCAGAAAGGGTTTTAAGCTGACCCATTAAAGCAAAAGCACTTAGGTATGACAGGTATCCACCCGGTTCCCACAGAGAGCTCAGGCCAACCCTTGTTGCTTAATTATAATCTGCTTAGAGACAGGCCAGCGTGAGAAAGAGGACAGTCAGAAGGACCCGCACTTGCAGCAGGGTGGCCAGAGACCAGGGCATTCCAGCCAGAAACCTTTACCTGCTGTTGGTTCCACTTGAGGTCAGGGATGAGGACAAAACCATCAGAGGGATCTGGGTTCTCGAAAACAATCCGGTCCACTTCAGCCTTCTTGTCAAGAATGTTATACACCCACTGAAAGGAGGGGGAGAGAGATGGTTCACAAATACACTCATCACCCCTTGAGAGACACCCCAAACTGAGCTAGGTGCACTCCCTGGCCCCTCCAGGAGACAGGACCAAGCCATAAAAGGCCGCCACGCTCAGAGGATCTACATCTGGGCTGCCCTGTCCCTAAGCGTCTGTCCTTAGGGGTCCAGAAGGGATTTTCCCCCTTCCCACTCCAGCTGGCACTCAGCCATGAGTCATCACAAGGGTCTCTGCAGCTCGGATGGGGCCAGGCTCTTCCTGGTCAGCATAGTGCACGCGCTCTGCAGAGGCCTCGCAGACCCAGGCTGTGTCTGCCCTTTATAGCAGTGACCCCCTCCACTGCCCACAGGACTCAGGGGAAGAGCTGCCTCCATGGATCCTATTTCACTCTATTCAGGACTATGGGGCAAAGCAAGGTAGGAGGCTGAGGGCACCAAGGTTTCCTTCTGTGGAGGGCCGGCTACCCACCAGGGCAGTGAGAGCCTTTGCCTCTAGCAGCTCATGTGTGCAGGTTTCCCGCCGCACCGGGATTCTCATCAGCAGCGGGCTCAGCACCTCGGCCCGCCTGGAGCTGCTGCAGATGCCGGTTAATCAGCAGTCTCTGCTGACACAGGCCCCGCATGGCAAAGCAGAAATGAAAGCTATGTGGAGACACAGAGACAGCGACCTCACCAAGACCTTTCAGGGCTACCCAGGCTCCTGGCCCTTGTGTCACCCTTGGATCATCTGCTGTCAACAGTTTGCAGAGGACCCTTCCCAGGCCTATGTGGACCCGAGGACATCACTTCACAGAGATGGTCCTGGAGGCCTGTCTGAGGTTAGGAGGCTGCAGGAGGTTGGCCTTGGGGGTCACAGGCGTCAAACCTCAGTACCCCCAGCTCTTCTCTACTTCCCCCAGCTCTCAGGGCCCTTTGCAAACATGAACTCATGCAGGACAGTGAACTCAGCCCTACATCCGGGGGAGAGACCTGCTGGGAAACCAGAGAGGGGAGTGGCTGAGGACACACTACCGCCCCTTCCTCCTCATAGTCAGAACAGTCTCTGAGCTCACTGATGTAGGAGAAGGAGCCACGGACAGGAGGTAGGCTGGGGAGGCCAGAGAACCGACACTACCAGGCAGCCATCCATGATCCTCCTTCTACTCCCAGAAGTGCTGGACAGGCAGCATCACCGAAGGCCAGGGACACGGGGACTGCCTTAGGGTCCACACAACCTCACACCTTGAGCCCAGAGGGCTGAACACACTGCATTGCATCCTCACCTCTCAGCTGCGACGGACTAGGGGTGAGGGCAGCTGGGCCTTGAGGTCTCCTGCAGCTCTCTACCCACAGGAAGCATTTCAGTTCAGAGCGCCCCAAACCCCTCACAAGGCCCCAAACCCCTGACAAGACCCACAGGCCAGTCACAATGTGGTCCATTCACAACAAAAGACAGGCAGTTCCCAAGAAACTGAATGAGGCCCCTTCCTGGGAGGGGTCTGGAGGACACCCGACAGCCGCTTCCTCATGCAGTGCCTGGGCCAGAGCAATGCATGGCCAGCACATCCACAGAGGCATTTCCTCTCTGACCTGAAATCTCCTGGGAATGTGCTGCCGGAGGAAAAAGCCAGCGGAAATAAAAGGGAGGGAGGGAGATGGCATTCCCTACGGAAAGCCCCAACGCACCCCATAAGCAAGCCTCCCCACGGTCCGTCCCTGGTTCACAGAAAAGCGGCATCTGCCTCTGACTGGTAGAGCGAGCGTGAGCAGGTTCTGAGCCAAGGATACCTGGTTTTATCTCCCAGCTGTCACTGGGTGAGCAATTGATGCCTCCTTTGTAAAATAGGGCTGATGATATATACGTAAGCATGGTGAAGGCTTTCAGAGAGAACATGCGCATGAAAGCGCCCAGCACAGCCAGCATAAGGGAGGCCCCCTACGAGTGGCAAAGGTGGTGGGATGGTATGCCAGAAGCTACAAGAGTCACTGGGGACAGGAAAAGAGGGAAAGGCGGTGAAAGCAAAGGAGGTGGTGAGAGAGGTAATAAGAGCGGGGCTGGAGGACGAGTGACTGCAGGAAGGGGTGATGACCGTGAGAGCAGCTGCACTCTGCCTGGCACTGCTCTCAGTGTCACAGCAACCCTGAGAGGTGGCTGCTATCATTGTCGCCATTTTTTTGTTGTTGTTGAGATGGAGCCTTGCTCTTTCGCCCAGACTGGAGTGCAGTGGCGTGATCTCGGCTCACTGCAACCTCCACCACCCAGGTTCAAGCGATTCTCTTGCCTCAGGAGCTAGGATTATAGGTGCCTACCACCACGCCCGGCTAATTTTTATATTTTTAGTAGAGATGGGTTGTTTGTTTTTGCTTTTTGTTTTTTCTGAGCTGGAGTTTCACTCTTGGCCGGAGTGTAATGGCATGATCTTGGCTCACTGCAACCTCCGCCTCCCAGGTTTAAGTGATTCTCCTGCCTCAGCCTCCCAAGAAGCTGGGATTACAGGCGTGTGCCACCACACTCAACTCACTTTTGTATTTTTAGTAGAGATGGGGTTTCGCCATGTTGGCCAGGCTGGTCTCGAACTCTTGACCTCAAGTGATCTGCCGCCTTGGCCTCCCAAAGTGCTGGGGTTACAGGCGTGAGCCCCCGCGCCTAGACATTGTCCCCATTTTACAGGTAAGGAGAATGCAAGTGCAAGGACGTTCACGCTGGGTCAGCCAATTCCAACCATGAGTGTCTGGCTCCTGAGCCTGCGCCCTGGGCCAGGGTACCTGCTGCTTCCTGGGAGAGGCCGCTGGGAAAGTGGGAGGGAGCTGCATCCACAGGAAGCCTCAAGGCCAGAGGCCCAGATAAGAAAAAGAGGAGAAAGAAAGAACAAAATTCACACAAACACAGAGGGCTATGTAATGGGGAGTGCCACCATCTGAAACCAAGCCCAAGAGACCTGGCCAGCCCTGCGGATAAACTGGGCAGTGGGTGATGCCATCAGCTTTCTGCAACTCACCTGGCTGGACTTCTTTGCAGTAGGTGACACTAGCAGCTCCCTCGGTACCCTCTCTCCCGCCCTGACCTCCCATGAGACATCTTGCTCCTTCCTCATCACCTCCTGCTCTCTGCTTCTGCCTGCTGCCTTGCACTTCCCCTCCAGCCATGTGTGGTGTGACCATGTCTCCCAGGTGTCTCAGCTCTGCACATTGCTGTGCCTGTTCCTCTGAACAGTCACCTGGAGTAGAGAATGGTGGCTACCATCCTGGCATCATTCTGTGCTGGAAACAATAGCAGGCACATGATACATGGCACCTCTCTCAACTTCCACAACACCCGGGAGGGAGGAGCCATTAGTTACATTTTTCAGACAAGGAAACCAAGGCTCTGAAATTAAGGACAATGTCACGCTGCTCTTAGATGACAGACAGAGAATACAAACACCAGGCTGAGGCTGAAGTCTAGCTGGATGACTCACAGACAGACATTTGCAACTAGATGATCTCGAAGGCTCCAGATCCAGACATCCCACTGCAGTTTTTACTGGGAAGTTATAAGTACCTCACATCTAAGGAGTCAAATAGTATCTCTGGCTTAGGGCACAGATACTAGGACCAGACTGCCGGGCTTTGAGACCTGTCTCTAAAATGGCTGCTGTGAAGAATAAATGAGGTGCGAGGCTGGGCGCGGTGGCTCACACCTATAATCCCAGCACTTTGGGAGGCCAAGGTGGGCAGGTCACTTGAGGTCAAGAGTTTGAGACCAGCCTGGCCAATATGGTGAAACTCCATCGCTACTAAAAATACAAAAATAAGCCCAGCGTAGTGGTGGGCACCTGTAATCCCAGCTATCTGCGAGGGTGAGGCAGGAGAATCACTTGAACCTGAGAGAAGAAGGGTGCAGTGAGCCGAGATCACACCATTGCACTCCAGCTTGGGCAACAAGAGTGAAACTCTGTCTCAAAAATAGATAAATAAATAAATAAATAAATAAATAAATAAATAAATAAATAAATGAGGTGTGATGCACATAAATGCTTAGAGCAGTTCTTGGCACTATGCATAGTAAGTACTCAATAAATTCCAAACTGAACTCACTGTCTTCCATGCAAACCCACTCTTCTGTTTCTGTCCCCGATACTGGGTCATGAATTATCCTTCTATCCACTCATCACCCAACCTCTTCCCTCCCCTCTCCACATCAACCAGTTGCTAAGCCCCATCCAGCCCTGTGAAGACCTACCTCTGAAATTGCTCCAGAATCCTTCCCCACTGTCCCTACCTCGGTTCATACCCACACTGGGCTTTCCCAGTCTTCTTGTTCTATGCTCACCCCAATGCCACCAATTAATTCTGCAAATCGGACCATATTGTCCACATGCTTAAAACTATTTAGGGCACCCTCACCGCCTATGGCAACTGTTCTCACATCTGATGGTTGTTAGAAATATGAGAGAGAGACAGAGAGAGAGAGAGAGAGAGAGGTTTTTTTAAATGCACAATTCCCAGCTCCACTCCCTGAAGGGTGAGATTCAGCAGATACGGAATAGTGCTCCGTGCTCAGTATTTATGAAAATCCCCAGGCAATCCTAATGGTAAGCAAGGTTCAGGAACTCCTGGCCCCCTGGACAAAGTCCATGTGCCTCCGCCTGGCCCCTGCCTACCATCTCTGTGCTGTCGCCTCTGACCCTCCAGCAGCCCAAGCCCCAGTCACACCAAACTCCTTGCAGCTCCCCCAAAGCATCAGATGATTCCAGCTCTGTGTGCCTCTGGACTTGCTCCTCCCTCCCTCTGTGCTCCTGGTAAATTTCTATTTGTCCTTTAAGACCCAAGGGGAGGATCTTCTCCCTGTGAAGTCCCGACTGTCTGTGCTGGTCACTGTCCCTCTGCATCAGCACGGTAGCTCATCTAGGGATCAGAGTGCTCATCCCATTGTCACAATTGCCCGTTTACAAGTCTGTCTTCCCTGTTAGACTGTGAGGATCCTGTCTAGGTTTCATCATCTTGGTGACTCTCCAAAGCCTGGCATAGGACCAGGTCCATAGTAGGTACTCAGTAAACATAATGACTGTTGCCAGTGAAGCTGAGTGCTTGTAAACTAGAAATAGCCAAGAAGGAATACATAAACCGCTCCCGTCTGTCAGGAGCTGGAAGAGTAGTGGAGTTTTCATTGTGCTCTTCTCCGAGTGGAACTGCAGAATGGTGTATAATGAGGAATATACACAGCCAGGCACAGTGGCTCACACCTGTACTCCTAGCACTTTGGGAGGCCAAGGCAGGCAGATTGCCTGAGCTCAGGAGTTTGAGGCCAGCCTGGGCAACATGGCAAAACCCCATCTCTACTAAAAATACAAAAAATTAACCAGGCATGGTGGCGCGCGCCTGTAATCCCAGCTACTCACACCAACCACGTCAGGCCTTCCTTACTTGAATCTCAGGTTTGCGCAACCAGCACAACAGAACAACTGTTCCAGGAGATTCCCTAGGACCCTGAACAGCAGAAACTCTAAGAAGGTGGAGACGTAGTTCCTTTCCACTTGGAAAACAGAACAAGTGCTGGGACTTTAAAAACAAACAAACAACCAATAACAAAAAAAAGTGAGTCAGCCTGAGCCAGACGCACCCCGTGCAAACTGCCGCCCAGGGAGACCACGGCTGAACCAGGCTGGGGAAGGGGGCTGGCGGCACACAGGCCTCCCAAGGAAACGTTGTTCCTGCAGGTCCTGCCAACCTCCCCTTCCTTACTCCTCTCGAGTACAATTCACCTTGCAGTGCCCACAGACACAGCACACCCTCCCTTCTTCTGGGCCAGGGAGGAGTGGCTGTGAGTTCCTCACATCACAACACCCTTCACCACAGTGACCTGAATCTTGGGGAGAAAAGTGAGAAATGCTCAAAGAGAACAAGGGTGAACGATAAAGATAAGGAACAGTGTGAGAGTCAGTGAGTGGGCAAGAAACTGACTCATCAATAAGCATCAATCATATTTAACTTTGAGTACTCACATGGGGCCAGTTCTAGGCAGAGGCTCCAGTTGGCACTGGGCCTAGGCCCAGGGAGGAGTCAGGATCTTGGCGCTAAATGGCCTTGCATCTGGCCTGGCCAGATGACTGCCAGCTTGTGAATGGAGTCCCTGCACCAAATCCCCGGGGCCAATGGAGTCCTGCCTCCTTTTGGACGAATGCAAGGGGGAGTGGGTGAGGGAAGAGCTTTTTACTCTGAGACTGAGATCCTGCAGGCCAGTTTGCCACAGGTAAAACCAGGAATAAGAGTCTGGACTGGGTGGGACTAACTCAACATCAGCCTTTTACCCATTCATGGACCCAAAGCAATGGCACAGTCATCCTGAGGCTGGATCAGGGCTACTGCAGAGCAGACACACATTCTTCCAAAGGACTGGATTGCTTTGAGGTCCCCAGAGAGCCTCCATGGCATGCCCAAGCACATCAGGTGGAACCAAGACCAGCATCAGTTCCCTCATCCCCAAAGCCTTCTCTGACCATGCTATATAAAATGGCAACTGCCCACCCCAGGCCTTTTGGTCGCACTTACCCTGTCTATTTCATTATCTCACAGAGCATACAGATCCTGAGATATCTATGTATGGTCACACACTGTGTGACCGTGCATGGGATGTAAGCGGCACGACGTGGGGATTCTGTCCGCCATGCTCTCTACTGTACCCCCATCCCCTCACCTAGCACAGCGCCTGGCCCCGAATACGACCCCAATAGACACTCGTAAGAGGAGGCACCAGCCACGGGAGCAGTGCTCTGCATCTGAGACATGCAGCCAGTCACCTGGATGCTGAGGCTCTGGGACTCCAGGTGGGGTAAAGTAATGTTCCTATAGTCATCTCCCGTCTCTCGGATCAGGCGGAGGTCCTGGCGTAGGTACTTCTGCAGGTGTTTCTCTGTGGCAGGGTAAACCACGGTCGTCTTTACATCTGCAACGACACAGCACAGCCCGTGACACGGAAGCAATGCCCACTCTCTATGCCACAGGCACCACGCTGAGGAGAGACCTCCCGCCCTGGCTTTGATTCCCTGAGGGAAGCCAAAATCCAAGAGGATCACGCACCCAAGAGCCACCCCCACAGAGTGCCTTGTGCCACTGCATTCATGAGCTGAGCCACACTCAGAACCTGGAGAACACGGGGCCCCTCGTCAGGCAAGCCCCAGCCCTTCCTGCTCCACCTTCCAGGCACAGGAATGAGAGGTCCCTAACTCTTCTCACATGCCAAATTTCTAGGTATGTGGCTTTCTGGACCCAAAGCTGAAAATATGGTTTAAAGCCTAGGCACGGTGGCTCACGCCTGTAACCCCAGCACTTTGGGAGGCCGAGGCAGGCGGATCACCTGCGGTCGGGAGTTCGAGACCAATCTGACCAACGTAGAGAAACCCCATCTCTACTAAAAATACAAAATTAACCAGGTGTGGTGGCGCATGCCAGTAATCCCAGCTACTCGGGAGGCTGAGGCAGGAGAACCGCTTGAACCTGGGAGGCAGAGGTTGCGGTAAGCCCAGATCACGCCATTGCACTCCAGCCTGGGCAACAAGAGCGAAACTCCGTCTCAAAAAAAAAAAAAAAAAAGGTTTAAAACCCAGTAGTCCCCTTAATGACGGGCAGTGCAGCACAGCGCAGTGGTTCTAGGCACAGACTCTGGAGCCAGACTGAGTTCAAGTACTGGCTCTGCCTGCTCCTTATTCTGAATGGGACCTTGGCATCACCCGGGAGCAAGGTTCAGCTGTTTAACTTCTTGTTTAACTTCTTGGTGCCTCTACTTCCTCATCTGTCAAATGAGGATAGTAAAAGCTCCTGTGTCACAAGGCTGGGAGGATTAAACAAGTCAATTACCTGTGAAGTTCTTAGAACAATATCTGGCACACAGTAAATACCACATAAATGCTGTGATGTTTCATCCAGGGTTTCTGAATCTCAGCATCACTGTCATTTTGGCCTGGATAATTCTCTGTTGCGGGGGCTGTCCTGTGCATTGAAGGATGTTCAGCTGCATCCCTGGCCTCTATTGGGATGTTAGTAGCACCCTCCCCAAGTTGTGACAACGCAAAATGTCTCCAGACTTTGCCAAATGTGTCCCCTGAAAGGAAAAACTGTCCCCAGGTGAGAACTACACTTTTAAACTAGAAGGATGTCTTGCAGTTTTCCTAAACAGACTCTAGGCTGGCGTCCTGGTCCAAAACCACCTGGTTTTGGTTAAGCCCTTTCCCTTATTTTTAATAACATCTGGTACAATTGTTATCATTACTCTAACATTTATACATAGTGTTTTAACACAGATCTTAGGGGTATTTCAAAATCAGCTTGGATCTTTCTCAAAAGACCCATGGTTCCCCGCTGACTTTCTTAATCTGGGTTCAGATAGGCTGTCCCAGAGAAACCCAAGAGAGAGCCGAAAACCGGCAGGGACATTTCACCACCACGAAGTCCTCATGCTCACTCACACACCGCGAAACCCAGCTAAGAACTGTCCATCTATACTTTCATATTTGGTCTGAGGTCATAGGTGGTTTTAACCCCACTTTCATACGTCAGTGACAAGGGTGGGCTGGGACTCAAAAGAGTCATTCAGTATCACACTGTGAAATGTGGCAGAGGCAAGCCTGGAACTGAGGCCTTCTTACCCTAAAGCCAGAGCTCCTAGAACACCACAGGCTACTTTCAACTTCTACTTCCAAGTCCCAGTGACGATGTACAGAGATGACATACCAGGCACATGGCTTCTGTCCCATCAAACATCCCAGTCCATCAGCTCTGGGAGGCACAGCAGCACAGTGGGAAGACATGGACGCTGGCCCCAGGCTGGCCACACGACTCTCCATACTGGCTGTGTACCCTTGGGCATGGGGCTTAACGTCTTAGAGCCTTGGCTTCCTCACCTATTAAAGGGTGGTCATCAAATCTGCCTTACAGAGTTGTTTACATTAAATAAAACATGTCACCTGGATCACTGGAGGTGCTAAATAAATGTCACCCAATCCTGGGAATCCCTGGATCTGACCGTGAAAAGGGGGCATGAAGACCTCCTCACAACTCTCTGAGAACGCAGCAAAAAACTGTTCCTTGCTTCTCACTCTGTTCTCTAACAGCTCAGGGTCATGGGTCATAGGCCAGAAGGCAGAGGTCAGAGGTCAGGCACACCAAGATCTCAAGAGGCGGGAGACTGCTTGAAGTAGACTGAACGGCACCACCTTGGCCCTTGCAGTGGACCTGAGGGAAATTCATACATCTGCAGTGGAGCTTGGTGGATGAGAACAGAGATTTTCGAGCCAGTCAGTCTGGATGCAAGTCCTGGCTCTGCACTTATTAGCTGCGTAACCTCAGGCAAGTGACTGGCCCTCTCTGTGGCTTCAGTCTCCTGACCTCTACAATCTGGGGTAACGATAACAGCACCGACCTTCCAGGGCTGTTGGGGGAACTAAATGAGTCAGTAGCAGGAAAGATTCAGGAAGTGCCTCACACAGAGAAAAGCGCTCCACCAAGGCTAGCTTGGATTCTCTCCACTGTTGCCTCAGTTGTCTGGGTTGGGCAGTGGAGCTCCCTGAGAGTCGGGGCGAGATGGGCAGGGCACAGAGGCAGAGCGGGCGCTGGAGAGCAGCCGGGCTCTGCGGGCAGGGTCACCCAGCTGGGCTCCCAGCCCCTGGCTGCTCCAGATCAGAAAGCCACCTGGCCTGTGAGCGTGCCCTGGTCTGCCGAGGCCTGTGCAAGGCCCGCCCCAGTCACCCGGGGTGCAGGGAAACTGGTGTCTCACTGAGACAGCCCCTCCCGCCTCCCCTCAGCAGCAAGAGCATCCACAGGCGCTTATTTTCCAACTGCTCACTTCCTGCCACCCTCCTGCCTTTCCTGAGGTGCGCCTGCAGGGCTGGGAACCCCACTGCAGCACTCTCACAGCTCCCCACGGCTCCGAGAGCACTCACTCTTCAGGGGCCTGGCTTCCCTCAGATCTCCACCAAAAGCCTCCGTCAGGGTCACACTGAGGTGGGGGCTGCCACCTCAAACTGTCCCCTGCTCCACAGCTCCTGTGCTTCCTGCCGTGGTCTACGAGGCTGTTGGTGACCTCGCCCTGGCCCTCTCTCCACCTTCATGCACTGCCTCTCTCCCGCCTGGGGCCTCTGCTCCAGCCACACCAGCTCCCCACGGACCCACTCACTCGCGTCAGCTATGGGCTCCTCTCTGGGCCGTGCACGGGCCGCTCCCACGGCCAGGCTGACCCTCCTACCCACAGAGCCACGCTGCTCCTTGCTTCATCCAGGCCTCTGCTCTGAGGCCAGCTCCTCAGGCTTGCTCAGCCCTGGTAAAACAGCAGCCCTAACCTTGTGGCCCTGTCTCCTCCGACAACCTGCTTTCTCTTCACTTCTCACTCCCTCGCAGCAGCATGTGGATTGACTGACTCCCCAACTACTGTGCAGCTTCCAGAAGAAAAAAAAATTGTCCCCAGCACCTGGAATAGTGCCTGGCATACAGTAAGCACTCAATAAATATTTAGTGAACAAATGAATAAATGAATCTGGCCTTTTCGACTTTAAACCCAGGAAGAACATTTTTGTCCTAAATGGAATAAAACCTCTTTGATACAAATCAATATATTTCCTAATGCTAAAGTTTACCTTGGCAGCCGAAAAAAAAATGAACGCTGGTGTTTACCTCAATGCCCGTCAAGATGTTGACCTGCAGCTGAACTTCAGGAGGAGTTTGGTCAAGAGTCAATGCTCAATAAACAATCACACCATCAGGTGAAAACATGTGGGGAAACAGGATACACAGGCACAGTCTCAAAAATATCTCCGCATAGATTACTTATTAATTACAAAGGCAACACAAGTCGCTTTACAGCAGCAAAAGGCTGCCACCTCAGCCAGGCCATGGGAGTCACCGTCACCCCTGCTGGGCACGCTGACATCACGTGCCTCCTGATCCTGTGGAATTCTGGCCAAAAACGCATAACCTGAGTCTGGTCACGAGGAAATATCAGCAAACCAAAATCCAGGGGCATTCAACAAAACGAGTGGCTTTATAACACCGCAAAAATGTCACAGTTAGGAAAGACAAAGAAGGCTGAGGAATTGCTCCAGATGAAGGGAGACTAAAGAGACGGGACTTAAAGGGATTGGATGACATCCGGGGTTGGGATCCAGGGAGGGGCACCCCGCACTGAAGCAACTGGCACAACTTAACAATGGACTGTATGTCACAGAAGTCTCATACGAATGGGAAATTTCCTGAAATTGATAATTTTACCCTTTTTTATATCCATCATTATCATGAATGTATGTATGTATGTGGAGACAGAAAAAGCCAACGTGGCAAATGTTAACAGGCGAAGTCCTTTAATAAGGGAGTTCTTTGTACTATTCTTACAGCTTTTCTGCAGGATTGGAATTTTTTTTTCGTAGGAAAATTTTTTAAAGGTGTTAATACCTTTTGGAACCTCAGCCCTATAACACTATTCTAAGCCTGACACGCACATGAGCTCATCTACTCCTCATGACCAACATGAACAAGTATTACTATGATTGCATTTTACATATGAGGAAACTGAGGCCCAGGGCCTGGAGTGGCGCCCAAGGGCCCACAGCCCTGTGTGGTGCTCAGGGCCGGGCCCCACACCAGCAGCCCCGTCTGCCCACGGCAGGTCAGCAGTCGAGGCCTGGTGGCCTTGTCAGGCTCTTCCTGCCACATGCTGCCTGGCAAGTGGACCGAGGGCACCGCCTGCTCAGGATGGGTGATACTGGTGATACCCCTACCCAGAGCTCTTCCCGGTGGCCAGAGAACTGACCAACTCCCCAGTCCCACCCTCCGCTGGCATTCTCATTAATTATTTATGTATTTATTTCTTTATTTGAGATGGAGTCTTGGTGCGATCTCAGGTCACTGCAACCTCCGCCTCCTGGGTTTCAGCGATTCTCCTGCCTCAGCGTCCCCAGT